GAAATAGCGTCCTCTTCAGTAGAGTATGGAAATTATATATTTTGTTACATTTTGCAATCTCCAGGAGAAAGTGCTTCCCACTGAAACACTCCGTCCTATTTTCCTCTGATTTCAGTATGTCATTTTTAGTTAAAACACTAACATATGTCATGGTGCACACAACACCAGCTGTTCCCACCTTTTAAACACATCCCCACACAACCCCACACAAAATTAACTGAGCTTTTGCACTGCAATTTCCTCCTTTTATAATAATGATTACACCCTTTAGTTTTCCAAGGGCAATTAGGCCTGTCTGGATGAGCAAAACTACCACATTCTGTGGTCTCAACCTTGATGAGAATCTCTGTCAAAACACAAGCTAACATATTTGTTGCTTGCATATTAACTGGCCAGGTTTTAACCTCAGCTTCCAAAAGCCCACAAGAAATTGCCCAGGGTAACATATCTAACATTTCTCAATTCTTGAGACTCAAAGCATGCTATTGTTACTGATGAAGGATTTTTGTTTTCAAAAGTCCACCACATAAAGAAGATAAACAAGACAAAACAAAGAATCTTCCTGAAAATAACAATGTTTGACAAGAAAAATAAGCTTAGAAACAATGCTTAGCCCAATATTACACTGATGTTCACTTTTTCTTCTGCACACTTCTATCTGGGCAATTATTCTTCATTTAAGATGGTGTCTGACATTCCCTGAAGTTTGCTTTAATAAGTTGCTATTTAGTAGCATTTAGGCCAAGAAAAACAAAATAATTTGTATTTTATAGTGAGCTGCAAGCCACTCAATACCATTAATATTAGCACAGATTGTCTTAAGAGATGCTTCAGACCAGCCCTGTGTTTTTCCTGTGCTGAACGCAATTTACGTACCCAACAAATAATTACACAGAAGCATTATAGCAGTACTTTACTGACTAGGGCAATGCAGTTAGAATACATAGTACCTTGCAACCCAATAGCCAAGAGATTATAATTTAGAGCACATCGATACTGAATGACTTTCTGCATAAGCACTGATCTTTAATATATGTGCATGAGTAATAGCTTTATTTCTCACACGGGAAGCCCGAACTTTAGAAGGCTTTATTATTCATAAAATAAAATGTACATTTCCAGAAAAAAACTATTCCATATTAAATATCCCAAGACTTTTTAATTTAAAACTAATATGCTCAACTGACTTCACCAAGTATCTTCACCTGTTACCTAATATACAATTGCCTTTCACAAGATGTACTGATTAAGGATAACCGATACAAGTTGCAACAATGGAAACTCCAGCTAAATACCAGACCAAAAAAATCCTTGGAGATAGGCAAAACTCAGACAGATGGGACCCTGAGCAACCTGATCTCACTTGGAAATTGAGCAGGAGTTTGACAAGATGACCTCCTAAATCTTTCTACAATTGTACGACAATGTAGGGGATATGCCCATAGACATACAGGAAGTATATCCACACCATATGTCTTACTATCTGCTACTACTTTTTCATCTTACAGAAAGAGAGAACACAACACGACTGGATGCAAACGTAAGATCGCTGTACCTGAAGTATGATGGACTATACAGCTTTAAAGGAAGGAACACCCACCACTTTGTCTAGTGACATTGAACAGCCTCTCACTGTTAAATAACTGCAACTATTGCTAGAGCATTTTCTTCCCCTGGATACACAGCCTGTCCTGAAAGCACAAAGTGGCAGAAAACCCATTCTGGAAACATGTCTGCTTACCATCATGCAAGCGTGGATCTGAGATGCCTTCAGCTACCTAAAGTAGCAAAACAACTACAGGTTGGGCAGAGAAATGACTGAGAGCAGTCCTGCAGAGAAGGACTTGAGGCTGCTGGTCGATGAGAAACTGAACCTGAACCAAATTCAGCATGCGCTTGCAGCCCAGAAAGCCAACCATATCCTGGGCTGCATCAAAAGAAGTGTGACCAGTAGGTCGAAGGAGGTGATCCTGACCCTCAAACTCTGCTCTCATAAGACCCCACTTGGAGTATTGCATACAGTTCCGGTGTACTCAACATAAGAAAGATGTGGAGCTGTTGGAGCAAGTCCAGAGGAGGGCCATGAGGATGATAACCTCCAATTAACCTGGAGTGGGTGTGCATGGTGGGGAGCCCCTGCGTCAGGATGAATGTGCATGGGAAAAAAGGAAGCCAGCAGGGCCACTCCTCCGGATGCAGGCTGACCCCCTGCATCCAGACAACTTGGCACTTTTCCGGATATAAAAGGCCTGGGGTTCAAGAAAGATCAGGAGAAGAAAGGAGAGGGATAGGAGAGGAGAAGAGGGAGATGGACCAGGACCTAGACCTTTTATGGCCAACCTTAGCTTTGTGGGGACACCTGCAAAGTATGTGCCTGCTACCCCATTTTCTCTCAATGCACCTTGGAGCTGGCCTCCTTGTCATTGAACAAATGTGTAGGTTGGTAAGAATCTGTGCCTAATCTGTTCTTTGGTAGCCTTTAGGTCTCTGTCTTTCTTGCTTGGGATATCTCTGTGTTTTACATCTGGTTTAGATCTTGTAATAAACTTTCTAGTAGTTTGGGGTGTATATGTGTGGCTTACATTCCTTCTCCACCCAGAATCCTTTTATCCCTGGAACAACTGGATATTTCAGTCTGTGCTCCCAAGACAGCTTGTGTACTTTTCAGTAGAGCAGCAGCTACAGCACATACAACACTTGGGCAGATTTTGAATGGGATGTATCAGACCAAGAAGCCACATCATGTAGAGAAAACACCTACAAGATGTTTTTAATTCAGAGTGAGCCATCATCTTCTGCAGACAGGAAAGCTGCTGAAAAGACAGTGAGTGGTACCTTGCTTCTTTGAAAGGCTCTATCAGCACGCTTTGCTTTTAAGTTGTAAAGAAATAAAAATATAAATTAAAAAAAAAACACACAAAAAAAAAAATAACCAAAAATCACTCAAGACAGTTGTCAACTCCCTCAACAGCTATGATGACCACCACGTCAATCTCTCATCTCAGCTGAGTGCCGTAACCACTAATCCTCTCTAGTTTCACTCTTCCAGAGTCAGGGCTCCTACTGCCTGCTAGCCTTTTGGCAGATTTCTCCTTTTGCATTACTGGATACATTAAGATACTGGCTACACAGCTCAAGAACTGTGATGGAACATGCTTCCTGCCAGAAGACTGAAATCCTTGGCAGGTAAAAGCTTGCTCTGAGATGGTAGGTTCAGATCCAGTCAGGCTCCAGAGCTTCCATGTTCTGAACTGTCATGGTTTAAACCCAGCTAGTAACTCAGAACCACACAGCCACTCACGCACTCCCCCCACCCCTTCTTCCTCCCCCTGCTCCCAGACTCTAGCTTCTAAATGACCATGCCATAGGTGGACGTCTACATCATTGCCATTAGTTCTGGTCAGAAAAGGCATTAGGGTTTGGCAAGAGCACCTAACTATAACCTGAGATAGGAGATTTAAACTGTTCCCAAAGGCTGTCACAGATAGCTGCCTGAGCAGGCTTAGTTGCACAACCCAAACTAGCATTTATCTGTCTCCACTTTCAACAGCAGAATTCCAGGTATGGTAAAGAGAGCAGAAGCACCTGGTCATTGTCCCTGGTGACACAAAGTTGATCAATAAACAAAACTAAACCAGAAAAGTTTCATTCAGTGCATCTTTCAAAAATGAACAGAAATGAAAGAAATTAATTCTAAATTTTCATTAAAGTTTTGAACCCACTTTCAATAATGCCTGTTTTCCCTCTAGTGATTGTGTTATTCATGGTGCTACAGAGCAAAGAACTCTGAGCAAGTTCCTCCTGAACCAGCAGTAATTTAACTCATCTTCAAATCATTCCCAAAGAGTTAAGGGCAATTCAAATGTTGCATCAGCAATGTGAGAGGGGAAAAAAAAAATCTGAATATTCTTCCATAAGTAAATCCAAAACTCAGAGAAAACTCAAATCAAAGCCTGAGTTCTGACAGACTGCTATTCCTCAATCTCAGAAACACAAGTATAAAATACTATTAAAACAAACTAAACTTAATTCAATAAGATATTTCCCATAACCCAATTTAAAATTTTAAACAAACCTGAAAAGAGAGGAATATTTCCTTTACAAAATGTTCTGCTGACTAAAAAAAAAAATTCTGTGTAAATTAGCTCACATGAGCAGCAATTTCTCATGAATGTTAATATAACCAAACTAAATCCAATAAACATGACGGGAGGAAAAAAAAAACCCTTTAAGAAACATAGTTATTGCTTATCTGGAAGAAATGTAAGTTAGGATAAACAGGAATTTTATTTTGTCCTGGTGATGTAGCAGTTTCAAAGTTCCATCATCAACATCCCATTGACTGCCAGTACAGTTTAGGCTCTAAGCACTCATGTTGCTTTTGTAAATAAAGATGAGGTTATTTCCAAAAGGTTACCAAGAGTAGCTACTTTTCCATTTAAAGGAACCATACACTGTGCATTTAAGTGTATTAAATTAAGGGATGCAGTTTTCATGCTGCATCCTTCCCCTGCTACCTCGAGCCCACTGTCTGAGCCTTACACGTGTCAGACTTTATTATGATGGGAAGTTCACTGAAGCAAGAAGCATCTCCAATATTTACTTGGATGATGCCTAGTACTCACTTAAGGCTATGAGAAACATGTTGTAATTACTGCAATTACCAAGCTGGGGGAAAAAAAAAAATCCACCAGTTAACAAGAAATAGCTCAAACTGATGATAGGTATTAGCAGTTGATGGATACATACACTTTCTGTGAGTGGCTCTTTACCATAAAAAAATACTGAGTGCAAGACCTGCAAATAACTACACAGTCTTTCTTCCTGAGGAAGCATATTAATATTAGAACTTCAACGTCTCTTCTTAGAAATTTTTAAAGTGTCTGAACCCAGCTAGTTAGCTTGCACAATTATGAAGAACACAACTGACAGCAAATTCAACAGTACTTTGGGAAGATACAAGCCTCTGTATCACTGACAACATGCTGAAATTTGAATACCTCTTTACTGTCCCTGGAAGATCCAGACTGAATGGAATTTGATAGGACAATGCTAAAGTGTCATCCACAGCCTTGCTTATTTCCTGTAGTTCTCTCAAAGAAACACAGCCAAGTAAAGCAGCCAGCTCGCAGTCCTGTGACTGAATAAGCCTATCTTGTTCTTCAATTTCTCTTCTTAGCTGTTGATCTTTTGCTTCCAATATGGTCAGTCTTGCTCGGAGGTCTTCAATTTCTTTCTGCAGAGAACAAAAACCTGAGTTTACTATGAATGCTGTTAAAGAAACCCCTCTGCCCTTATTAAAATACAAGTCTCAAAAGAGCATGAATTAAGGTTCTTCAATTTAGTACATTAAATGAGAAGACATTATTCCGTTGATGCACAAAAACTCTTAATGTCTATCATATTCAGAAACTCTAGTGGTCCCAGTCTGAACACCCCACCTCCATTTCAACATCAAATTTCAGGTTCTTCTTCCAACAACATCAGCCACCTTTTACCTTTAAAATATAGAGGTATTTCTGAAGTTGAAAACTTGCTAAAATAAAACAATATCTCAGTTCAACCATGACAAGAGAATCTTGCTACAGACTGACAGATAACATGATCAACCATATATCTGTCCTCCTGCAGAGCATCTCTGCAATGGTTTCTCTAGGCTTCCAATCCAACATCAGGACACAAACAGTGAATCACTGACTCTCTAGCAAGTCATTTTGATTATAAATAAAAGCACAAAATCTCTCTCTTGACTTAAAATTACCAGATCTTCAATTTCAGTTGTTGTCTTGCCAGAAGTTCAAATCCCATACATTATCGTACAGAAATTGCTGCAAAAGCACATTATAACTTTTCCTTGGGAAGACAACAAATAACTTGCAGCCAAGGAAGAAGCACTTAGTTAATATCTAGCCCTTGGCTCATTTGTCCCAATTGGAAAGTGAGGGTAAAAAAAACCCAAAAATAAATCCACACCCAAACAAACAAGGGAAGATCTTTCAGCTAAAGAAAAAGAACACCTTAAAAAAAAAAAAAAAAAAAAAAAACAAACAGAACACCCCACACCACCAAAAAACAACCTACTTGCTACTAAAGTAGTTTAATACCACACTTCCTACAGTCCCTGTGAAACTTTGCAAGCCACTTAAACTCCTACCCCCACACACAGCCACAGACTGAATGTTCACCATCTTCCAAAGAACAGCAAGAGGGGTCTCTGAAATGCTATCTATAGACTCTCAACAGAAATCAAAACTCTGATTATATTCAGCACAGCTAAAAACTAACAAAGAAAAAAAACAAAAAAAAAAACCCTCAAAACAAAACCTTTTACAGGTAAATAACTAGGCATTACAAAATTGACCTTAGAAATGACCATATAGCTTTTTATGGCAATTCACTTCTTCATTCTCTAACTGTAAAATGGCAATAAGAATATCTCATCTCACAAAGCAATGTGATGGAGATAAAATTAAGTGGTTTTGAATCACTCTGATGCCATGTTGATTAATGCTGTAAAAAGAGTCCCTTCACAAATTAATAAATCTGAATCTAAAAGAGGGTTTGAGTGACATACAGTAAAATGGGGCCAAATATTGAGTAATGAAGATAAAAATGGTATTCTGAATATCTGAACAAGCACTTTCCATCTTCAGCAATGTATGCA